GCACTGGAGTTGGGACATGTGTTCAGTTCTGTTTTTTGAAACTTCAATTATGGTTTTTAAACAATAAAAACATTCTCCAAAGTTCTCTGTGCATCGCTTATTATTCTCCGCTCCATGGCTGCCATATCCAAAGGCCCAGGATTCCCCTGAGACCTGGTGTTGAACATAGTGTGAGGGCCTGGTGCAGTGGCAGGGGAGGAGGGAGCTGGGGGCTGGGACCGCCTTGGCCCCCCTTCTTGGCTCACAGGGCCAGGGCACTGCGGCCAGACCATGACTTAGAAGCTTCCTGGTTGTGAAATTAGGAACCTCTGCTTCTTTTTTTTTTTTTTTTTTTAAGATTTATTTATTTATTGGAAAGTCAGATATACAGAGAGGAGAGATGGAGGGGAAGATCTTGCATCCGATGATTCACTCCCCAAGTGAACGCAACGGCCAGTGCTGTGCTGATCCGAAGCCAGGATCCAGGAACTTCTTCCGGGTATCCCACACGGGTGCAGGGTCCCAAAACTTTGGGCCGTCCTCGACTGCTTTCCCAGGCCACAAGCAAGGAACTGGATGGGAAGTGGAGCTGCCAGGATTAGAACCAGCACCCATATGGGATCCTGGGGCGTTCAAGGAGAGGACTTTAGCCGCTAGGCCACGCCACCAGGCCCAGGAACCTCTACTTCTAAAAGCTAAAAAGATGGTGAGTGCTTGCCTGCTAGATGAGAGGAGGGCAAAGGCTGCCCAGACCCCCTCCCAGCACCACTGCTCCCACACCAAAGCCCATGGGTGCTTGGGCTGGCCCCTGGGACACTGCCATCTTACACCACGCTCTGACTTCTGAAAAGTACCTTGTGACCTTTGCCACTGGCCTCACTTGCCCCCTCCACATGGCTGAATTCTACATCCTCCAGGTGGCCTGGGACCCCCTCCTGTCATCAAATGCTGGTGGAAAAGCTGTTGGGTGTGATATTTGTCCTTTCTGTCCACTGCCCAATGGCCCAGACTTGGCCACGGTTGCTGACCCCACCAGCCCTAATCAGTGATTTGGCATCACCCACTTTAAGCTTCTGCTGCCCCCTGTTGTGTCGCAGACACTTAGAGCAGACTGGGAAACAGCACTGCCACCTCTTCCAGATCTCTCCCGTCAGGCTTTGTGGCAGATGTTTTCCTAGTGTCTAATAATTAAGATTTATTTTGAATGAAAGTGAAACAGATCTTCCATCCTCTGTTTCACTCCCCAGATGGCTGCACCAGCCAGGACTGGGAGCCAGGCGCTTCATCTGGGTCTCCCACGTGGGTACAGCAGCCCAAACAACACTTGGGCTGCTTTCCCAGGCCATTTGTAAATGGGAGTAGTAGGGAGTGAGAGCAGAAGAGGAGCAGCTACCACGGCTCCAGCCCCTGAAAGGACCTTCAGTCCTCTTCCGGGAGTCAAGCTAATGGGCACCTCTCTGTGTTCTGGGATATGAGCACAGGTTCCTGCGGGGCAGTCACCCTGCCCTGTCTGGTCCCCAGTCCCAAGTTCAGCTCATTCCCTCAGGCCGCCACCTTCCAGCCTCAGCACGAAGGTGGGGGTGGCGGTCCTGGTCTCCAGTTGGCTTGGCCTTCTGGCCCTTGACCACTGAACCTTAGCTCAAATGCTGGAAAAGGTTATGTGTACGTGACAGGTGCAGCTGCTCACAACTGTGTCTTACCTGTTGAACATTTCTAGTTGCAGCAGTCTTGGCAGGGCCCTGCCACACAGCTTACAGATCCTCACCTGACCCTAAGGCCTCAGGCCCTTTTAGGGTTGGTAAGAGACTGCTGAGTTGATCACTGTCACAGAATGCTGGAGTCTTTACTGTGATTTCCCGGATCTTGCCCGCCAGTCGGGACTGGAAGCCTCCTGTCCCACTGCCTTGACTTTGTTTCCTGGAGAATCTGTCACTTTCCTTCTTGAAGAGCTCACTGCAGTCCTCACTGTCAGGTTTGGTTAATTTCAGAAACAACACAGAAGTATAAGGAACAACATAACCACTACACATGTACTCTACCCAGGATTTATAAATGTCAGCATTCTGCTGTGGCAAATTCTTTAATCCAGGACAAAAGGATATGTGCTGGCTAGCCCAGTTGGAGTCTGTGGCTCCCTCCCTGGGGGCAGCCACTGGATGAATTCAGAGTAAGCTAGTTAACATTTTAATACTTTTACTAGAAAACATACTATTGGGCCTGGTGCGGTGGCGCAGTGGTTAAGGTCCCCTCCTTACACACCTGGGATCCCATATGGGCGCCGGTTCTAATCCAGGCAGCCCAACTTCCCATCCAGCTCCCTGCTTGTGGCCTGGGAAAGCAGTCGAGGACGGCCCAAAGCTTTGGGACCCTGCACCCGCATGGGAGGCCCAGAAGAGGCTCCTGGCTTCGGATTGGCTCAGCTCCAGCCGTTGCAGCCACCTGGGGAGTGAATCATCAGACAGAAGATCTTCCTCTCTGTCTCTCCTCTCTGTATATCCGCCTTTTCAATAAAAATAAATCTTTTTTAAAAAAAAAACACTATTGAGTTTTAACATTATTGTAAAGGCTGTGTTCTAGCTACGTGCATGTAGATTGCTGTCTCCCCTCAGCACTGCTGTGAGACTGAACTGGGGATGGCCACGCCCAGCGCGCCCCAACGGGCTGTGGATGGATTAGTTGTATCTAACCTGTCCCCTCCTGACAATGAGTTTCCATAGTCACCATGACAGCTGACACTTCAGAGTGCATCTCCATGTATGTCCTCACACACACACTAACTACATACATGGTCTGCAAACTGAGAGCCAGTGTTCAGGCATGTCATCTATATGGCCCCGTCTCAACTACCTTATTCCACCTCTCTAGCACAAAGGTGGCTATAAACAATATGTAAATGAAGTTCTTATGGACACTGGAATTTGAATTTTTACACCATATGAAATATTCTGATTGTTTTCATGACTAATTTTTAAAAATTATTTGAAAGGAAGGGAGAGACACAGACACCATCAGGCATCCACTGTTGGCGGCCATCTGGGGAGTGAACCAGCAGATGCAAGATCCAACTCTGCCTTTCAAGTAAAAATGTAGAAGCCATTCTTCACTCCCAGCGAGGTGGGGAACGCCTGCCCCAGCTCCAAAGCCTAGCAAAGCAGTCACTTGGGCACAGGGCATGCATAGTTCCACCTTACTACACATCTCCAAAGATGCTCTGAGTCCAGCACCAGGACACAGTAAGTTCAGGGAAAGCTGCCAGCCAGTTCTGACTGTGAAGGAGCATAAGGGGGCAGGGGCAGTGGGAAGCAGGAAGGATACAGGAGCCTCCTGCCAGGCCCCTTATGGGAAGATGATCTTTGTCTCTGAGCTCCCAGGATTGTGCAGCACCTGGTTCCCATGCTGCTGCTAACAAACTCATCCTCTCTGCTTGGTCTTTAGGAAGCACCCTTGCCTGGGACTACAATGTGGATTGTATCACTATCCTAATGGCTCTGCCACCAGCTAGTCTTGTGGCCTGTGAGGCCCTCAGGAAGAAAAGAGGACATGACAAATGTACAATGAAAATGGCTTCACATTTAGGGGTACCTGAGGGCAGCCAGGCCACAGGTTTAGGAATGTGGCTGTCCTGCCCTCTGCGGCCTTGTTGAGCCCACCCTCTGCTCCTGAGTTGCTGGGCACATAGCTGGCAGAGTGGAGGGCACAGGCAACCAATAACAGCGAGAGCCACAGGTGACAGCTGCCAGCTGTGGCCACCAGGGGGCACCCCAGATCTAGAGATGGGCCCATCCAGGCCGACACGTCCCCTTCCTCACCCTGAGAAAGTCATCTTCTTGGAGTGCTTTGGGTAAATTGTTCAGAAAGTGACAAGCCTGGGTGTGGTCAGCCAGACAGCCCAGGCAGGCTCCTGGCCAAGGCAGAGGCCCAGGTTGTAACATGACACTGCACCCCATGGCCTTAAGACACACTTCCTTATCAGGCCTAGTCCGCAGGGTTGGTGATCTCACTTTCAGCCCTAGCAGTGCCCAGTTCTGTGGCATGAACACGGCAGTTTCTTTTTGTCACCTCTGGCCTGTGTTCACCTAAGGGCAGCACATACTGGCTGGCACTGAGAATGGCGAGGGGAGCCGCAGACTGCACCCTGCCTCCCAACTCCAAAGTCTGGGAGACTCTGCGGTCTCTTGGGCAGTGCACCAAGGGTAGTGGTTGGGAAGGTGGCAGGGCAAGGGCAGGTGAGCAAGAGCTCAAAGGGTCTTGCTTCATTTGGGACAGGCATCCGGCTTCCGCTGGCCTCTGCCACATTCCGGGGGCTTAGAGGAATGAGTCAGAGCGGGGGGTATCGGGGAGTTCCCAGCTAATCAGCTGGGAATAAGACAGCCTGGAACTTGGGAAGATGCCTATCCTGGAGAGGAAGGGTGGAAGAGGGGGAGATGGCGGAGTAACCCAGCGCCCCCATCTCAGGCCCCTCACGAACCAGTCTCTGGGGAGAATGGGAAGAGCACAGATGGGGGTTAACAAGCTGCTCTCTCTGAGTTTGGGAGCCCAGGATACAGGTGACCTGACAGTCCCAAAGGAGAGAGGCAAAGGGGGCTGCCCCAGCGTGGCTGCCAGAGAAGGGCAGGAAGCCGTCCCAGGCCTGGCCTCGACCCCATCAGCCAGCGGAGCAGCTACAGCCTCTGAAGCTTTTACCAGCAAGTTGGCCTGGGTCTCGGCTCCAACACCCGGGAGTGACATGGACCTGGGAGGGGCCAGAGGGGAGGAAGAATTTCAGGGGGACCAGACGTCAAAGGAGCCGAGATTCCACAATTTCACAAAACTTTCGCAAACAGCTTTTTGTCCCACCCTCTTTGCATTGTCTTGGACACCAAATTTGCATAAATCCTGGGAAGTTATTACTAAGACTTAGTCGCTGCCCCAGGTAATTTCCTCCAGAGCCTCCATGGGGTTCTGTATAAAGGCCCTGAGGCACTGGGCCCTGACAGAACACAGACCCTTGGCCACACATGCTGCTCAGTCTCGTGAAGTCAATGGGTGAGTGAGCAGGCCTGGCGCTGAGCGGCTGCCTGCCCTGGGGTGCGGGCGGGAGGGAGGCTGCAGCAGCAGAGGAGCTGGGGAGCCGCAGCATCCCTGGACAGGGACCCAGGTGGGGGTGGGCTCTGTCCTGACTCCATCCACCTCCAGCCCTGCAGCTGCTGCTCTGGCTCAGTGTTCTCTGGACAGTGCATGAGGCCGCCCCTCTGGCCCCTGGCAGCTCCCTGCCCCAGAGTTTCCTACTCAAGTGCTCAGAACAAGTGCGCAAGATCCAGGTGGACAGCGTGATGCTGCAGGAGGTGATGGTAAGGGAGTCGCAGGGGCAGCAGGAGGGGAAAAGGAGACCTGGAGGGAGTGTGGGGGGCGGTCATCAGGAAGGGGCGAGGAGAGAGACGCACACAGGGAAGAAAGAAAAGGTGGCTGGGGCAAGGCTGTGAAAGTACTGGCTGGGCTGGGGCAATGAGGCCTGGCAGGACAGGGAGGGGGGCTGGGCTCAGGAAAGAGCAACAGCTGGGCCTAGCAAGTGTCACTCAGTATCTTCTCCCACCCCACACAGTGCACCACTTACAAGCTGTGCCACCCCGAGGACCTGGTGCTGCTGGGGCACTATTTGGGCATCCTGCAGGCTCCCCTGGGCAGCTGCTCCAGCCAGGCACTGCAGCTGGTGAGTGTTGGCAGGGAGGGCAGGAGAGTGGAGGAGGAGGGTCTCGTGGGGCGGGGGGCGGGGGAGGGGGCAGCAGGGCTGACCCTTCTGCTCCTGCTTGGCCCTCCCAGACCAGTTGCCTGAGCCAACTCCACAGCGGCCTCGTCCTCTACCAGGGCCTCCTACAGGCCCTGGGCGGGATTTCTCCACAAGCAGCCCCCACGGTGAGCAAGCTACAGCTGGATGTTGCCGACTTTGCCACCACCATCTGGCATCAGGTGAGCCTTGCTGGGGAGGCAAGCAGTGAGGGCGAGCCAGCCACTGGCAAGGCAAGTGGACACGGTGCCCTGAGGTTTCCTGAAAAGCCTGAGGGTGGGGTGACAGTGACACTCTCGAGGGCCTGGGCACACGGAACCACCCCCTCTCAAAGCCAGGGCCTTCCCTCTGCTGGCCTTCCTGCAGTCCTGAGGCAGTCGGATGTGGGTGCTGGAGCTCCCTTCAGTCACGCGGCCTCCACAGTCCTGTCAGCTGTGCACGTTTCCTCATGTATGCCAAGGCCTGCAGAGCGAGCCCTCACCTCATCTCCTCTCCCTTACAGATGGAGGTCCTGGGGTTGGCTCCTGCCAAGCAGCCCACCCAGGGCACCATGCCCACCTTCACCTCTGCCTTCCAGCGCCGGGTAGGGGGCGTCCTAGTTGCCTCCCACCTGCAGAACTTCCTGGAGCTGGCCTACCGTGTGCTGCGCTACCTGGCCCAAGCCTGAGCAGAGCCTGCCCCCTCCCCCATCGTATTTATCTCTATTTAATATTTATGTTTATTTAAGCCTCATATTTAAAGACAGGGAGGGTGGAACAGCTATAGACTTCCAGGTCCTTTCCCCTCCAAATTTCAGTCTCCTGCTTTCAGCAGTGAGCTAAGCTCCTGTCACACAGAGCCTGGGACAGGAGGTACAGCTAACTCCCTGTAAGGTGCTGGAGAGAGCCGCAATGAGCCATCAAGGGCTCGCACCCGGGGTCCTGGAGGTGCCAGCACTGCCCTGCACAGCAGCATTCTCCCGTGGGCTCCTCCAGTCCCTTGCTCTGGCCAGCCAGGTCTCATGTTCCCCCTTGACCCCACACCACATGATGGCCAGCACTGGGAGGCCGGGCTCTGCGTCGGGGACCCTACAAATTCACCTGTGAAACCATTGTTTGTACTGTGAAGAGTTCTGGGGCCTGAGCAGGGCCTGGCCCCTGGCCCACCCTGCCCCGTCCCCCGCAGAGACGAGGCGTCCTGCTGTGAACCCTCCCCTGCCCAGATTTCCTCACTGTGACCAAGCTCCCGGGTAATAAAACGTGTGTCTCCAGAAAATGTCCTCCCTCCTTCTTGGGTTTGGCAAGTACCTGGCAAGACAGGGGTGCTGCAGGATGGGAGAGGCCAGAAGGAGGGGAGAGGGGGTGTAGGGTAGCACTCACTGACCTGGGCCCTCCTGGGAGCAGACCTCGGCCAAGTGCCTGCTGGCGACACGGCAGCCACGAGAGGAAGGCGTCCGGGGGTGGGGCAGACCAGGAAGGCGGGAAACACAGAAGCACTGACCATGTACACGGGGCTGATGGCTTCCTGCCTCTGCCACCTGAGCCCAGCCACAAAGCTCCCACGGCCACAGAATAATGAAGCTGATTGTCCCTGCCCAGGCCACAGACGCAACACCTGCCTCCCCGTGCTGCCCAACCCTGCTCGGGCCTGGCCCTGCCTGGCAAAGCTGAAAAGGATGGAGCACAACTCAGGAGGGTGGGGATGTAGCATCTACACTGCAGGCGCAGGCACACCTCCAGCTAGAGGATCCCCACAAACCGCCCAGGCCAGCCCAGGCCATTCTCTGTGGCATTTTCCCGGTCCCCAGCCTGAGTCACCTCCTGCTTCCCTTCACACACTGGCAGAGAAAGCAAGGCTGGAGTCCGGCGGCCTGGCTCAGGCTTCCTTCAGGTTGCTCAGAGCATGAGGCAGCAAGAAAGGGCTAAGGAACGCTAGAAGGGGCAGCTCCAGCTGCAGCCTGGACAGATGGGAGATGACATGCAGCCCAGCAGCACAGGGCCCATGCCAGAACCTTTTCCACCTCATGGTACGGCTGAGTGGGTGGGCCACAGGCCAGTGTTGCCACCCCTTCCAGGGCTGGGGTCTGAGTGTGTGCACACACACACCCTGGTTCCCTAGTCCAGTGAACACCAGAGTCCCAATCCCTGCCCTCCTGAGCCTCCACTCCACTGCAGGGGATGCAAGGAGAAGACACTGCCCTGGCCCTGTTGGCACAGACACCCATGGCATCACAAGGGGACCCGCAAGGATCTTTATTTACAAATGAGCTGAGATGGGCTTCCCCTCACGTGTTAAAAAAAATACACATGCAAACACACATACACACATGTGCACATGCACTCAGACACACACACACACACACACACACACACACACACACACACACACACCCCTTACACAACTATTAGGTCCTGGGGGCCAGTCTGCAATAGGCAAGGCCAGATTGGGGCAGGAGGGAGCTGCCCTGGGCTAAGGATCCAGGCTGCTCCATGTTTTTAAATATTGGCAGAGGGGAAAAGAAATTATCAAGAAACTGGGAGCTGGGAGAAAGATCTGGAAACTGTCAGGAACATGAGCAACCAGGTCTCGCCTTCCCTCACTCTCCCCTCCTGGGCGCCTAGGGCCGCCGCCCTCCCAGGTGTCCCTGCGGCCCCTCGAAGCCCTCAGAGTGCAGCAATGGCTTTGGCAGCCACCTGGCGTCCCAGGGGCAGGCTGAGGTCCGTGATGGCTAGAACCACCTTGGGGCTGGATGTGGCCGACAGCTTCACCAGCTCCGAGACCTGTCACAGACAGATACGCACCAGTGGCTCCCCGCCTTCCTCAGGTGGGGTGCTGTCGCCGCAGCAAGGAGAGCCCATCCTCCCCCTACTCCAGCAGAGGAAGGGGACACTCACGGTGGTGAAGGGCATGAACTGCAGGATGCTGCCTCGGCTGCCCTGCTCCAGGCAGTCCACACACTCCTCCAGGAACCACTGCACGAACTGGGTGTGGGGGCCAGCGGTGCGCGCGCTCAGGATGGAGGAGATGAGCAGGAAAAGGTTGGCTGTGCAGGAGGGAGAGGAGCAGAGCTTGTGGGGGACTGGGGACAGGTCAGGGTCTGGGCGGGGAGGTGATGCTGAGAGCCCCTACGTGGGAATGAGCAGGATCGAGGGGAACATGCAAGAAAAGAAATGGCAAGGCAGCCTGGGGACCAGCGGCGCTCACGCTTACCGAGTGAGCAGGGATGCGAGGGGCGTGGGGGATGGGGGCCTCGCCCAGCCGCTGTGCCCTCACCCTCCCTGAGGAAGAGGGGCTCCCTCGGGCATAGCCCCTGGGTTTCAGAGCAGCAGGGGGTACTCACCCAGGACTCGGTTCAGAGGGTCCCTCATGTTGACCGTGTGCAGCTGGGAGGCTGACAGGGAGCTGCTCATGGAGCGGTCCGCTGTGGGACAGAGCAGAGGGGACACTGGGGAAATGGCCATCACAGTCTCGAGTGCCTCTGCCAGCAACAGCCTCACCCTTCCTCCCTCCGGGTATCAGCTGACCCACACAGGACCCAGGGAAGCCCTAGGCACCGCTAGGACAGGGGAATTCCCAAAGGGAGTGCACAAGGCAGTAGGAATGCCAGTAGGAACCCCAGGGGCCATGGCCAAGTCCCGTGCTTCCTTCACAGCCCATGAGCACAGTGACACTCAGATGTGCTAAGTCAACCAGCCCACGGCTTGGAGGCCACAGGGTCCCTAAGTCCCTAAAAAGTTGTAGAGAAGCTTCTAGTCTCACCGAAAAGAGGAAAAATGGAAAGGCACTGAAGGAGCTTCCCCAGGAACCCTGGGGGAGGAGCGTGGGAAGCAGGGCAGGAAGAGCGGGCAGGAAGAGCGGGCAGCAGCCCGAGCCCCAGCCTGGACCTGCTGCAGGCCACAGGGCATGTCACAGGGGGAGGAAGGAAGGGCAGAGCGAGTGAGTCAATGGCACAGGATGGCCGAGGCAGTAACCTTACCGAAAAGGCCTGTGACCCCCTTGATCCTGTGGCAAGTGGGGAGGGAGGAGCTTAATGCGGAAGGGCACAAACAGACCCAGCCCTGGTCCCCACTGGACAGGCAGGTGTGCCTGAGGTGGGGTCTGCATGCGCCCCCCAGCCTCACTCACTGGGGCTTGCAAGGATATTGGCGTCGTCCTCATTGGAGCTTAGCAGGCGCATCAGCTTCGACGGCTGTGTGTCGTCCAAGGGGAACAGGCTGCTATAGTCCTAAGGGGTAAAGTGGCCACTGTGGGGCTGGGACTGCTGCCCACAGTCCTGCGTGTCTGTGCCCACACAGCTATCCAGCCTCACCACCCCGGGGAGGACCAGGCCCTCAGGAAGTGCAGACTGAGGGCAACCCCTGAGCCACCTGTCCAAATGATGCCCAGCCAGACCCAAATAAAACTGCACTAAGACGGCGGACCATGGCTGAGGCCTCCAGCATGAGAAGGCGCCCCTCTCTGGCATATGCTCCAGGAGTGCCTGCTGGACTCGCACACGGGCAGGTGGGCAGGAGCCCCTACCTCGATGTCCTCACGGTGTCTCTTCTTTTGGCGAGAGGATGCCTGGCCCTTGTGGGATGAGTAGGAACTCAGTGCACACCACACAGCAAGCCTGGCCAAGGGTTCCAGGAAAAGAGGACCAATCAGAGGGGCTCAAGGGAGAGTTTCTAGTCCCCACTGACCAAGCCCCATTTGCCCAGCTTCCAGGGTGGGCCCAGACTGGGCTGCACGACTGTCTGGGTGGTGGGTGGAGTGGAGGGATGGGGTCTTCAAGCTGGGCAGGTTCTGGAAAAAGTCCTACTTGGCCAGTGCAGTGCCAGGGGGATCCATGAGGCTGTGCCACTTGGAAGAGTCGGTGAGCAGGCTGGGCAGGATATGGCCCAGCAGGACCAGGGTCACCTGCTGCATGTCCAGGCAGAAGATGGAGTAGAGCAGCTCCACAGCCCGCAGCGTGTGCTCCTTGCGCGTCTCCTTCAGGAGCTCCTAGATGGGCCGCAGGGCGAGCAGGTGAGGGGCCCCGCACCGCATGCCCCTCCCACTCCTCATGCACCACAGTCTCTGGCCGGAACTGCTGCCACAGGCGGCTCCTTGAGGCCAGGACTGTGCTGCTCCCCCCATGGAGCTGACCACAGCTGCCCCTGGGCCAGCCTGAGAGCTGGGGAGCCAGAGCCAGGACAGAGTCTGGCCTGCTCAGGTGTTCTTGCAGCCTTTTCTGGGTCTGTAGACGCCCGTGGCCACGACCCACATGCCTGGCTCCCACGTGGTAGCCCAGTACCTTGATCAGGTTGTTGCAGAACCAGTAGACGCCCCCCATGTGCAGCAAGGTGTCGAACACGTGGATGGAGCGGCTGTCCACCCAGCCCTTCTCCAGCACCTTGGCAAACATGTCTGTCAGCACCTCCTTGATGGGCCGCTTGGGGGGGAGCAGGTTCCAGTAAGGCATCGTGTCCACGCCCGTGGATGGGAACTTGATCTGCGTGGCAGTCTGCTGCAGCACATCTGCACACATGTGCTCCAAGATGGAGTTCATGATCACTACCCTGGGCAGGTGGAGAGGACGGATGGGTCGGGCGCCATGGTGGGGAGGGGAGGCGTCATCTCAGCCAGACTTTCCCCCTCAACTAGGGTTACGGAAATATTCCTGGGGAACAGGCCTCATCTGGTCCTGGGGCTGGAGATAACCCCCTGCGGAGCTGGCGGAGCTCTCCCTGGCCAGGCACCAAGCCCTTCGAGGCCACAGAGCAGTGCCTTCCCTCCTTCCCTCCTTTCCACAGCTCCAGCACCACACTCCCCCTCCAACCTCCCCACCCCCGGGCTGGGCCCTGCCAACCCTCTGACATAAATAAACATAATCACTTCCCCCTGAGCCAGTGCTTGGGGGGTCCCCGCCTAGCCTTGGCCTCCTCCCAAGGTAAACAGTTTCTTCCAGGACAGAGCCCCTGGGCTGCCCCATACCACTATTCCCGGCCCTCAGTAGCTGGGCAAAAAAAAAGTATATCCAGGAATCTTCCATGCGGGTCTTGACTGGGACAGCAGACTCAGTTCTGCAGGCCAACTGTTTCTGGAATGCTGGGTGATACTGGAAAAGCCGGTAGGACTTCCAGGGCCGTGCCCTGATCTGTACCAGGGAGCCCCAGGTTGGCACTAGTCCTCACCCACCCAGGGACTGCTGTGCTTAGGGGGGGATTAGGGCAACCAAAGTCCCACTACTTGTGGGAGGACAACGGGGGAGGAAAGGAAAAAGAGAACAAGGTAAAGGGAACATAAAAGATGTGATGTCACAGACCCTCCCCAAACGTCATTCTAGCTTTTTTGTTGTTGTTGCTACTTGTCCTTTCTCAAACGTCCGCAATGGCTACCCTGCTGGTCATCACTCAGAACTGACCGGTGGGGCTGCTGATCGTGACACTTAGCACCCTATACTGGAGTTCAACTCCCTGCTGCTCTGCCTCTAATCCAGCTTTTTACTTATCTGCCTGGAAATACAGCAAAAGACAGTCCAAGTACTTGGGTCCCTGCCACCCATGTGGGAGACCCAGATGGGGTTCCCAGTCTCAGCTGTTGCGAACATTTGGGGAGTGAGCCAGCAGATGGAAGATCTCTGTCTCCTTCTGTCACTCTGCCTTTCACATCAGTCAACCAATCTTTATTTATTCATCAATAAACTGATTTGTTGATGAATGCCCCCGCCCCCGACTGTGTTCACAAAAGCCAAGAGGGAGATAGAAACAACTCAGTGTCCACGGAGCGAGGACTGGGAGCAGCACGCGGTAGAGCCCCACGAAGGGGTCTTAGTCAGCCTTAGGAAGGGAGGAAATCCTGTCACATGCCACAGTATGGATCAACTCTGAGGACACAGCACCGAGGGAAATAAGACATAAACAGGCTGACATTGCCCAATGCCAGTGACAGGAGGTATGGAAAGCGGCGAGAGGGAATACAGCATGCCAGCTGCCAGACAGCGGCAGTTTCAGATCCACAGGATGAGAAGGTTCTGGAGATGTTTCGCAATAGTCCGCGTAATTGCGCCGCACGGGGAAGTGGGGGGGAAGGCTGTATAGTACATGGTTTTTGCCACAATTTTAAAGCAAACAACTTGTTGGCTGGGGGGAATGAACCAACACCGGCAAATTCAACACAGCTGAACTTGCTGGGGCCAAGACAGGAAATCCCAGGCCAGTGGGTGGGGGTGCAGGCCTGCAGATGGACTCAGTTCCTAGAGAGCCAGCCAGCTGCGACCGGCCCTCTGGGCGGTGGCAAGCCAGCTCCCCAGAACTGTGGAGCTTGGAGGCAGCACCCCCAGCACACGGTGTGTGCCGAAAGCCGCACGTGGCACAGAGATGTGCGGGCCGTGATTACAGAGTCCACAACATCGTGAGTGCCAGCAGGGCCACCCCGAACACCTTGAACTCACTCAATCTCCGGACCTGAGCAGGGCTAAGTATGGTTCAAGCCTTGATGGGTGGCAGAAGGAATGTGAGGAAATGGATGAAGAAGGCATGTTTGGGAAGGTGAGGGGCACCGGGGCAGCTCTCTCATGCCCTCCTGGCAGGGTGGGGGCGGCACTGACCTCTCGTTGTAGAACTGCAGGGTGTTCTCGCTGTAGAGTGGCCCCGCCAGCTGGCGGATCATCTGCAGTGATTTCTCCCGCTCGTCCAGCCCCAGCATCCGGACATGGGCCACGAGCCAAGCCACGGCGCACACCGCCAGGCTGCACACTTTGCCTTTGATGTTTTATCGGTGATTTTCTGGGGGCAGGGACAAGGGTGACTCAGCTATTGTCTGCCCCTCCTGGGTCATCCCTTCCCTGGGCCTCCGTGGGCAGCTAGGTGCAGTGGGCCGAGTCTGGGCTACATTCCCACATTCCACACCTCTCCCCGATGGACGGGATTCTCCCAGAGCCACTGGTTGGGGAAGGAGGGGCTGAGACTATGGTCCCAGGATGGTCAACATCACACAGGAGTGCCCAAGTCCAGGGTCATGTTGTTCACATAACAAGCTAATCCATAACTAGCTGAGAGTCCTGGGAACAGAGGCCGCGAGAAAGGCAGGGCTACCTGGATGGATTCAAAGGCCAGCACCCCGTTCTCCCAGGCATTGAGGATTTCCAAGATGGCCGCCGAAATGCTGAGGCAGGCTTCGTGCCATTTCATCTGCCTACAGGGGGTGGCAAGGGAGGAGAATCACCACGGGGAGCAGGGCAGGGGTCCTGGGAAGAGGCCCTGACCCTGTCCCTCCCCTCTGAGGGGTTGCCCAGGCACTGACACCAGCTTCATCTCTGAGGAGTTGTTGAGCAGGGCTACCAGCGACTCCACTTTGGTCGAGTCGGGGCGGAAGCAGGGGTGCTCGGGGTTTAGGATCTTGCCCTCCTCGGGCATGCAAGTCTGCATCCAAGTCTCAAAGAAGGGCACCTCTTGCCCTGGGCTTGACTCGGACAGAATCACCTGTGAGAGAGGGAAGGGAGAAGCACAAAGTGGGCCAGAGACTGTACCCCAGTTCCCTGTCACACTGCAATTTCTCCCCTACCCTAGAGAACTAGGACAAACGGGTCAGCCAGAGGCTGACGGGGGACTGTGCTGCCACCTAGCGGCCCTTCTAGGACATGGCTGTGACTGCCCATAGGGATCACCTGATCTAAGGCCAGTAGAACTGGCTGGGGAGACTGATGGACCTGGGGGAGGACAGAGCTCTGGGCTATTCCTCTGCCCCACTCGTTGGGCACCCCTTAGTCCCACCTGCTCCCATCACACTCACCTCAGAACCATAGGTCTGGGCCACATGGCACAGCATGAGGAAGGAGATATCGAAGAGCAAGGCACGTACGGAGGCCGCTTTGGCTGCAAGAAGATGCGAGGTTGAGGCCTCAGCCCAGGACAGCGCCCGAGCCCTTGGCTAAGTCAGAGCGCCAGGATTTACCCAGGAAGGTCAGGGATCAAGTGGCTCCCTCAAAGCCAAGGCTCAGAATCCTTTTCTTGAGTCTCAGGGGAACATCATTCCTTCCTTGGGGTCAAAGATTTCTGGACCCTTCCTTCCCCCTAATCCCTGCTGAACCACAATGGGGGGCAGGAAAACAAGAGGGGGAAGCTTTAGGAGAGTTCTATCCCCTGCACCATCTTCATCCAAGCCTCCGCAAAACCTCCTGTCAGTCATAGCTCAGCGAGGAGGACAGACACTGCCTTCCCAGGATGCCTTCATCCCGTCTTTTCTCCCCAGCCCCCCTCCCAATGTCCATGGGGGTCTGCCACGGGCCGCACAGCTGACTTACTGCTTTCTCCATTGCCGTGGGTTGTGAACTCATTCAACTCGTTCAAGCTGCGGAAGGAATAGAAACAGCTGGCATCAACCAGGGCAAGAGCAATGGGCAGGCGCTGGGGGTGCTGCCGTCACCAGAACCTGAGTAACAGACTAAGCCTGCGACAGGAGACCCGGATGGAGTTGCTAGCCCCTGCTGTGGTGGGCATTTGGGGAGTGAACCAGTGGGTAGAAGATCTCCATTTCCCTCTGTCACTCTACCTTTCCAATAAATAATAAATAAATCTCTTTAAATTCATTTATTTTTTGATTGGAAAGTCAGATTTACAGGGAGAAGGAAAGACAGAAAGATCTTTCATCTGATGGCCACTGCCCAAGTGGCCGCAATGGCTGAAGCTGAGCCAATCTGAAACCAGGATCCTGGAGCTCCTTCCAGGTCTCCCACATGGGTACAGGGTCCCAAGGCTTTGGACCATCCTCTACTACTTTCCCAGGCTACAGGCAGGGAGCTGGATGGGAAATGGAGCAGCTGGGAAATGAACCAGTTCCTATATGGGATCCCGGTGGTTGCAAGGTTGCAGAGGATTTAGATACTAGGCTACTATGCTGAGGAAGAAAGGGCCGAGTCCGCCCACTGAGGCCTCCAGTTGGAATGCTCGCCTTGGCCAGTGTATCTCTGACCTAGGAGGCCCTGGCCCATGTGCCTCACCACTGCTCTGCCAACTCCTCCCTACACACAAGCCCCCGTCCACCTCCCACACAGTCAGGAGCTCAGTTTTCCTCACTTGATGAATTTCCGGGCAAAGGATTTAAGCTTTCCGGTGGCAGCGGCGGCAGCCAGTAGTAGGTCCAGACTCTTCCCGGACAGCATGTGACCCAGGACTCCCAGCAGCCCCTCTGGGGACTTGGAATGGTCTGCATCCATCGTCTGGAGATGGGACAGGAAATCAAATCCAGAAAGAATACAGAAGAACCCTCCAGATAAATGGTCTGGCTACATTTTCTCTTGTGGCATGTCTCCATTAACTGGCACATCACGGTTCACATTATTGCCATCCTTCCGACCTCCACCTGGATGTCACTCTCAAAATCTATCAGCACACACCGGCACATCGTGGGGCGGGGCAGAGGAAAGGTTTGGAGTGGCCACGGCTGGGAGGGTCTCGCCGACCCCCACCATAGGTGCCTGGCCAGCAAGCAAAAGGCACAAACGTCAGGTTGCAGGGCCAGCTGCCCTTGCCTTTCTCTCCCTCCACTTCCAGAGCAACTGTGTGTGAAAAGTGCACCAGAGAGCTCTGTGGCTCTCGGTTATTGATCTGGAAGTAGAGGGGCGGCGGCGAAGAGGCAAGAGCAGATGCTGGCAGCAAGCGAAGGGCGCGCTCACCTTGAGGATATTGGTGACGGTGGGCTCTGCCCGCAGGATCAGCCCAGGATTGGGCTGGATGTTGGCATTTTCTCCTGACTTCAGCTGGGGTGCCTGTTCCCGGTCTTCAGTGCTGTGGTCACAACCAGTCGGCCGAGAAGAGAGAAGAGGAACGTGGCCAGCTGTTTGACCCTCCCTAGTCTAACCCCAGAAGCAGGGGCACAGAGAGGGTTGGAAGCTGTCAAGAGCCTCAGGGACCGGGGCAAAGTTTGAGAAAGCAGATTTGGCTCAGCAATTGCCTCGAATGGTCATCAACCATTGCCTCTAGTTTGAAAGCTTGCTGGAGATTAAAGGCAGATGTGGGATTCTTATTTTGGCCACAGTGGAAGGTATGGGTTAAAAAGTATCAACACACACCACCAAACTGTGTTCCGAAAAACTGAGTGTGATCTTTTTCCTCCTATTCCCTGTCCTCTGGGGGCATGGTCCCAGTCCCTGGCAACCTAAACTTCAGACAGGAGGGGGACAGACACCAGCAGCCCAGTCACCAGGAGACAGACAGGCCCTTAGGTGCACACACTTACCGCTTAGCTGTAAGGCTGTTGACGCTGGCTTCGGACAGCAGCCCCTGCTTGCTACACTCTGTGAGCAGGAAGTTTGTACAGTCGCAGCTGCAAGGAAAAATGATGAGGGGACAACTGGGCTCCCAGCAGGGAGTTTGGAGGGACAAGGTTTTGAAGGGTGAGGACAGTCCGGAGAGAAAGGAGTGGGGCTCTGGGTTTGCAGCAACTCAGGGCTACTGCTTCCTGCCCTGCCAAGGGGAGCAGACAAAGAGACAGTGTCCCTTGAGACTTCTGTGGCCCAGCCAGCAGGCCAAGAGCCTAGAGCACCTTCCAGAAGAGCAGGGCTGAGCGGGGGCACTCGTACTTGCAGCGCTGGTCGGCTTTGTCCAACAGGGGAGTGAGCTTCAGCAGGTACTCGAAAGCAGAGTGGACATCTTCGGTAAAGTCCTACAAACAGTCAGAAGCTGCAGCTGGCTTCCAGCTCCCCTGCTGCTCCACAGCTCTCGATGCAGGCTCACAGGGCCATTCTGTCAAATGCAGGAGCCTGCCGGGTGACCTGCCCACCACTAACTCCCTGGCTGGCGGCCTGCTGTCGGGAGCTGGGGTGCGTGTGTAAGGATGCAAGTAGGGCCCCCAACCCTCACACATGCTTACTGCCTTCCTCAAGGCAGAGAACACAGGCTCCTGCCCAGCCTGGGTCTGAGCGGGCCTCCCTGGCCCTTGCTTTTCCACCCACTTCTGTACTGTGTCTCCTTCCTCATACTCACCTTGTCCCCGTGACAGTACTTCTTCAGCTTTACCAACACCTGTGGGATCTAAGGGCACCGGGGAAGAGAGAAACAGGAAGATCACTTCCCTACTACCACTCCAGCCCCGGTTCCAGCCCCGCTCCAGCCCCGGCTCCAGGCAGCGGAGCAACAACGTCCCCAACTAGAAGGGAAGGCATCCTTGGAGCCCAATCAGAAAGTTGATAGGCGCCCAAGGGCTTGATGCCCAACAGGATACAGGGAACCACCTGCTTCTGCCAGCACAAGAAGGAAATGCCATGCACAAAGGTGGGACGCCAGCTTCAAGGAAGACTGAGGCCTGCATCCCTTGGCTCTCGGAATTGCCCAGCACAACACTGGCTGCGGCTCAAGCTAAACGGCACCCTGTGGCGAGAAATCACGGTCCTGCCAAGTGGGCTAAATATAGCTCTGGGGCTTTCAGAGAACATAATCAATGGGTGCTGGTGCCGGGAGACCTGCAGGCCAGGCGCCCAGCTGGCGGAGGGGCCAACAGGGACCGGGTGCCTCTGTTTGTCCTGCGACCCAGGTGGCCTCCAGGTACCTTGAGGAAGGTGAAAGCTGTCCATTTGAGCTCCTCCGTGCCTTCAGGGGACTCGATGAGCCCCACGAAACAGGCTTTCCAGATCTCCAGCACAAAGAGCGGGGTGGGGATATGCTGTGGGGAAAGCAAGGGTGAGGCCTGAGCACATGCCCCCCACCCCTGCATCCTTCTTGGGCTCTAGGGACAGAGCAGGGATGCTCCCCGGGTCAGAGGTCAGAACAGATGCACCTGTCCCTGGCACTCCCTTTTTACCAAGGACACAGGAGACTCCTGTCCCTGCTCCAGCCCCCCCACCTCCAGGCTCAGGGGAGCCACTGGGCCCCCTCCCACCTGCATGCGCTTCACCATCATCAGCTGTTCCACCAGGGGCTGTATTTCGCCTGTCAGGTTCATGGTGCCCTCGAGCAGGACCACGGCATGGACTGTAGGAAAGCCGGTCTTGTGTAGCTGCTCTGAGTGCACAGACAGCATTGTGGGGATGCTGAGGGGACATACACACACAGGGGACAATTGTATGGCACATGAAGGCGAGAATGTCACCTGTGCCCCAGGACCCATCCTCTCCCTCCCTTCCCCACCAACACCCCAGGAGCTGGCTACCTCCTAACGAGTGTGCTGCACTGCTCAGCCTGGCTCTGGAGCTGGGGGTTGCTGAGATTGGCCAGGACTTCCCCAAGTTTCAAGAGAGAGTGTTCAATGGCCGTCCAGGAGGCTGGGGGTAGGGAACAGGAAACACAGAAACACGATGGGTGGTGGGGGTTGTCTGGCTCCAAGGACTCAAGCATCCCTCGGCCCACAGAGCCACGCAGGGAGGCTTCCCCTGAGGATGACGCGGAGGCCAGGGGCTGGAAGATGGCATGCACCGTGTGTAGAAGAGACGGCTTGAATAGCAGGGAAGGGGGACAGGTGGCACGCCAGAGTCCACAGCTGAGCAGGAATGGCAGCCACAAATGACTGCAGGACTAAGCCCGTGGGAAAGGCCAGCCTTGTGTGGCTGTTCCACGCCACTCGACGTCCAGTTCCAAGACTGCTGGCCGTATCCAGCACCTCTCCTCTGGGCCCCGCCCTCTGCTCCCTGCTTTGGGAAGGCACCCCTACAATACACGCACATGCACTCCATCCTTCAAGCCCCTGCTCAAGCCTCAATTCATTAACAATGTACCAAACTCATTTAAACCACTAATGCCTCTCTTGACATGCCAGCACACATGGTCTCTACTACATTACTGAGTTCTAAGTCACTTATCCTAGCGATAACTCCAGAGGGTCAAATGGTGGACAAGGGCATCAACTAATCCATGACCCATGCAGCCAAGAGGGAAGAAAAAGACAAGCCCTGTGACTCTCAGAACTGAGGACTCATCCACTCTGCAGCCAGCAAAACCCTTCACCGAGCACTTTGGCCGGAACGGTCAGTGCCACCCCGCAGTAATTATCTCCCTAGACTTCTCAAAACCAACCAAGTACACTTGGAGAATAAATACACTAATCTTCTGAGAAGCTCCAAGCCAGGTCTTGAAGATTTGGATATCACCTGTTCTGGCATTCTTGTTATGGGGAAACAAGAAAGCCTTAGCAGGGGTTCCCAAGCTGCCCTGGCTATTAGCAGGCCTGTGGTCTTTTGACCCCACTGCCAGAAGTCAGAGTGGGCCCTGCCAGCAGGTGATCCGTCTACTCTTAGGCTCTGGGAGCATCCAACATTTAACATCTAAGCCTGAGTCAGCGTGGCACCACCGGCTGGCCCTGGCCTTCAAGCAACAAGTCATTTGCCTCCAGATGAGAAGTGACACAGAGACACACACAAGAACAGATGCTGGGTCCAGCATGATGGCTGAACTAGCTAAAGCTTCTTCTTTCAAGCGTCAGAATCCCATATGGGTGTCAGTTCATGTCCTGGCTGCTCCACTCCCCAACCAGCCCCCTGCTTGGGGCCTGGGAAAGCCGTAGTAGACAGCCCAAAGCCTTGGGATCTTGCACGTGCATGGGAGACCCAGAAGAAGCTCCTGGCTCCTGGCTTTAGATCGGCTTAGCTCTACCTGTTGTAGCTGTTTGGGGAGTGAACCAGAGGACAGAAGATCTTTCTTTTTGTATCTCTTTCTTTCTGAAGAAAATCTACCTTTTCGGGCCCAGCGCAGTGGCTTAGCTGCTAAAGTCCTCACCTTGAATGCGCCAGGATCCCAAATGTGCACAGGTTCTAATCCCGATGGCCCAACTTCCCATCCAGTTCCCTGCTTGTGGCCTGGGAAAGTAGTTGAGGATGACCCAGGGCCTTGGGACCCTGCATCCTTGTGGAAGACCCGGAAGAAACTCCTGGCTCCTGGCTTTGGGTCAGTGCAGCACCAGCCATTGCGATCACTTGGGGAGTGAATCATCAGACGGAAGATCTTTCTGTCCCTCCTCCTCTATATATATCTGACTTTCCAATAAAAACAAGTAAATCTTGAAAAAGAAATCTACCCTTTTCAATAAAAATAAATAAATCTAAAAAAAAAAAAAAAAAAGGAACAGATGCTGTGGATGCTATGCTTATCTCATCCTCCAGTTTCCTCCAGGCATGTGATGGCCTGGGCTCACTCCCCGCCACACACATGCATGTTGAGGACAGGGGTCCTGCCACATGCTGCTTTGGTGGCCCCCATACCTCACCCTCAGCACCTGGCATGGTGAATAAATACCTATTGCTCAATAAATACCTATTGGTTGACTGGCTTGGGTGCCATACAGCCCAAGTCCCTGGGATGTATGCAATGCTTATGGGGAGAGAAAAAAGGAAGTGGGAATGTTTCAGATCCAACTGGAAAAAAGTCTGATGGCAGCCTGCCTCTCCCCTACCAATCAGAGGGCCAGCTATGGGGGACATAGGGGAATCTGGGCACATACAGGCCTCCTCCAGTTTGGCGATGTGCAGCAGGGCCCGGTTCTTGGTGCTGCTCAGGGTCTTCTCCAGGCGCTGCAGGCACATGGCAAGCTGCTTCTCTCCGGCGCCTGGGCCTCCTCCCTCCAGTCCCTCCTGCAGACGCTCCGCAGAGGCTGCTGTGCAGCGCAGCAGCCAGTGGAGGGCGCTGAGCAAGGCTCGGCACAGCCCAACGCACTCCTCTGCTTTGCCGTGACAGCTACCGGGAAAGGACGCAAAATCTGTCTCTGTTCCCAGGGCTGAAATCCGACCCAAGCCAACATGCCAGCGTCCCTGGCACTCCCTGGCCAGGAAAGTGCACAGGGAGGATGGCACAGCCCCGGGGCAGACATCTAGCCCTGTCACATGTGCAACTCAGAGTAGAGGAGAGGCACCTTGTCCTAAGGGAATGCACAGACAGGGAGGGGGATTTCGGGAGGGATGGGCAGGCAGAAAGAAGGAACGCAGGGACCTGCAGCGCTGCTCTGGGTTCAAGGGCCAAGAATCTCTCCTTTGCACTAACAGACCCTTACCTTAGCCGGTCACAAAACATGTCCAAGATGTCCAGGAGTGCTTGGACACACAGGTCCCGGGAAAAGTCATCAAACTGTGGGAAGAATGCATGGGACAGACACTACCCCCTGGGTCTTACCCAGGGAGCTACGGCCCCACTTAAGACTCTTGCATCTCTCTCTTCCAACCCCAGGTTTGGGACACAGCATCCTCTTGCTGTCAAAAATTGGCCCACTTCCCAGACCTTCCCCTTTCAGTGGATGTCCAGCAATGCTGGCTGGAGGCAACTGCCATGGCCTCTCCAACCTCAGTGAGGTCACTAAACCAGAGCAGTCAGGGAGGTGGGGCTTGTCCATCACATACCCTTTGGTCCCCTGCCCCCCACTCAGCTCCAAAGTGGCCAGGATCCTACCTTGCTGATGGCTGTGAGGACAGAGGAGTAGGACACCATCTGAGGGAGGAAGTAAAACATCCTTCAGACAACTGGTCTCCCCCACAGTCAAGCAATGCGATCAGGGATGCTGAAGGGCTGCAGCTATTCCAAGACCTCAGCCCCTTGGAGAAGCCCAGGCTGATCCACTTAAAAAGAGAGACTGACACTACGCCTGGCCTCATTCCTGCGCCGGACAAGCCCACTGCATAGAACATCAGCATAAAGGGGATGGATCGGGCTGCTTGACAGTGTCACGTTGCAGCAAGCATTTAGTCCAGTGCTTAGGACACCCATGTCCCACACTAGAGTAGTGTGAGTCAACCCTGTCTTGCCCCTGATTCCAGAGCCTCCTGGGAAGCAGCACGCGAAGGCCACGTGGGAAACCTGGATTATGTTTCCAGCTTCTGGCTTCGGCCTGACGCAGCCCAGCACCCCCACCCACAGCCCCTTTCTGGGCATTCAAGGAGTGAACCAGTGAATAAGAGATTGAACACTCGCTTACTCTCTCTCCCTCTCAAACACACAAAAAAATAATTTGTGAAAAGGTGCCAAGGTATTCATTGTCTACAGTAAGTTAAGTCTGGTAACCAGTGGGCCGAGGCTGCGAGGAGTGGGGTGCTCAATTCTGACAACCTCTGTGGCGAAGAGCGGCTTCACTGGGCAAGGACAACTACTGAGCATTTTATGCACTGACTAGATGGCACCTGTGCCTGCAGCCAGGGAGTGAGCTGTCCTGCACCAGGCCTTTCCTGCAGGATATGTTGGTGACACCTTCCCTGGCCAACTTCAACCTCCCACCCAAGGGTGAAATGTGGGCACCGACTGACTCACCACCCCTCTCACCAAATAGGCTACCAGCAGCCTCCACTAAACTGGCAGCTCCCTGAGGACAAAGGCATTTCTCTTGAGTGACTGCCACAATTCCAACATTTGCAGAATGACTTACAAAAACCACATTTGGACCCATCACAGTAGCCTAGAGGTGAAAATCCTCTCCTTGTGTGCACTGGGATCCCACATGAGAGCAGGTTCTAATCCCAGCAGCTCTGCTTCCCATCCAGCTCCCTGGGCCAGGGAAAGCAGTTGAGGACAGCCCAAGGCCTTGGGACCCTGCACCATGTGGGAAAACCAGAGGGGCTCTGCGCTTCCAGCTTCAAACTAGCACAGCTCCAGCCTTTGCGGTCACTTGGGGAGTGAATCAATAGATGGAAGATCTTCTTCTCTGTCTCTCCTTTCTGTAAATCTGACTTTCCAATAAAAAATAAAATAAATCTTTAAACACACACACACACACACACTCTAGGTCAGTACTTCCTTAAGTTGCCCCCAACAAGCTATGTTGTCACCGGGGGAACCACCAGACTCACATGGCTGTAAATCACAAGTCACATAGACAAGTACAGTTTTTCAGCCACAGTAGCCTCTTTCAAGTGCTTGTGGTTACTATACATATCAGCACATACTATACAAAAGACACTTCCCGTGAAGCAAATTCTGATGGACCACCGTGTTCTAAAGGATCCTAAGAATGATTAGAAATGCTGGCATTCCAAATGGGATGTGGGACAGACTGGACTAGTCTGCTACACATACTGGTAAACCAGAGTAGGGGGCAGGTCTGGTGGGGGTTATTGTGGGTCGCTCCGACTAGGCTGCAGCTCCCACTGGTTTGTATGAGGGCCGAGTGTGTGCTGGGCAGAACCAGGCTAGACTGCAACACCCATTGGTTCCAGTTGAAGACAGGGTTGGAAACAGAACCAACCCAGCAATTGCAACCACCAGCTGATGGGGGCGATGGGCTGTGCTGGGCCCTGTGCTTGCTAGTACATACAAGAATCTGGTCTCAGACAAAGTTTCTTTGGGGATCTCCCTAATCGAACTGCCGGACTCAGTACCCTAATCATGAAAAGACAGAGGACAGAACAAGTCAACCACCTCAGCCATTCACCACAGCATTGGTAGTGAAAAACTGGGCAAACAGAGACTCTAAGATGGACTATGTCAATCAGTGGATTCTTCAACGACCTCATCATGCTTGGAGTGAAGAGACTGGCAACAATTCATAACTGTTGAACTATCAAAACCACCTGAACAAGACCCTCGGAGCATGCCCCACATCAGGGACCTGGGGTAGGAGACTGGGTGAGGCTTCTCTGTTAAAATCCCCCTTTACCTCAGATATATGAAGGAAACAATATGGAAATAATAGTCTTACCCATTTTCCTATAGCCCTTGAACCTTTTTGCCCTAAATAGCTATGTAAAGGTTGTCAAAAATGTAATTTAAAAAAATGAAAAAAGTTAAAAAAAAAAAAAAAAGAAATGCTGGCATTCTATGGCCATGTGCATGTACAAGCAAACACACGTTAACTTGAAACCTGGGTTGGAGCCTGTGCTATGGTGTTGTACACTAAAACTTCACCTGTGGGTTCATGTACATATATGGACCCAGTCATGCCCCAGCTACTCTACTTCCCATCCAGCTCCCAGCTTATCACCTGCGAAAGCAGCAGTGGATGGCGTAAGACCTTGGGCCTATGCCACCCAAGAGGGCGTCCTGGCTCCGAAGATGGAGTTTCTGGCTCCTGGTTTCAGCCTGGTCCAGCTCTGGCTATTGAAGCCATTTGGGGAGTAGACCAGAGGATCTCTCTGTTATTGTTTTAAAAAATAAATAATTTTTAAAACATTTTTATTGGAAAGAAAGGATTACAGAGAGAGACAGAGAGAAAGATCTTCCATCACTGGTTCACTCCCCAGTGACCACAATGACCGGAGCAGAGCCAATCTGAAGCAGGAGCCTCTTCCAGGTCTCCCATGCAGAGAGTGGATTAATCACAGTGGATTAAGACGCCTGTAATGACCGCATCACATATTGGCACTGGTTCATTTTCTGGCTGCTCCACTTCTGATTCAGCTCTCTACTAATTTACATGGGAAGACAGCAGATGGTCCAAGTTTGCAGGCTCAAGCCACACACATGGGAGATTTAGATGCATTTTCAAGCTCCTTGCTTCAGCCTGGCCATCCCTGGCCATTGCAATCTTTTTTTTTTTTTTTTAAGATTGATTTATTTTTATTGGAAAGGCAGATAGACAGACAGGAAGATCTTCTGTCCAATGGTTCACTCCCAAGTACTGCAATGGCTGGAGCTGAGCCAACCTGAAGCCAGGAGCCAGGAGTTTCTACCAGCTCTCCCACATGGGTGCAGGGTCCCAAAGCTTTGGGCCATCCTCAACTGCTTTCTCAGGCCACAGGCAGGGAGTTGGATGGGAAGCAGGGCTGCCATGATTAGAACCAGCACCCATATGGAATTCTGATGCATTCAAGACGAGACTTTAACCGCTACGCTATTGTGCCAGGCCCCATTACAACCTTTTGATGAGTAAATCAGCAGATGGAACACCTTTCTTTCTGTCTTCCCTCTCTCTTTTGTTTTGCTTTCAAAATAATTCTTTAAGAAAGAAAACATTTTGGGGCCAACACAGGGGTTCAACTGGCTAATCCTCCCCTTGTAAATGCCAGCATCCCACCTAGGCACTGGTTCATGTCTCAGCTGCTCCACTTCCCATCCATGTCCCTGCTTGTGACCTGGGAAAGCAGCAGAGGATGTGCTTGAGGCCACTTGGGGAGTGAACCAGCAGATGAAAGCTCTTTCTCTCTGTCTCTTCTCTTTGTAAATCTACCTTTCCAATAAAAATAAATGAATCATTAAAAACAATTTTTTAAACCTAGCATACAGAATTTACTGCAGAAATTCTAAAGCCATTATATATAATGTATACTATGAATGAGGATATCCAAGATGGTAAAGAGATAAAACAAGCAATAATCTTCAATTTTATTTGATCAAAGAAATACTCCGAGTATTTCCAAAATATACCCCAGGACATTGCACCTGCACAGCAGGCCTCTCTGAAACACAGACAGCATTGAATTTCTACCTTTTCTCTAAGCAGCAAGTCTGGGACCTGGAACATAATATGGTCCTCAGGTGTTTACTGCTTTGAATAAATAAAATCTATTAAACACATGCATTCTAAAAAATAAATCTACCTTAAGATGAATTTCTGTCAATAAAAGCTATTCATCACCATCACAAACCACAAAGATTGGAGATTTGGATTAAGAGAAAAATGTCCTAAATGAAATTACACCCTACATGAAATTTTTATGGAGATTTAATAAGAAGAAAACAGTCCCTAATAAAATTAAACCTTATATAAAATCATTCAGTTATAAAATATTTTTAACTTTTCAAGTGCTATAGAAGAAACAGTTATGGGGCCCGGCATGATGGCCTAGCGGATAAAGTCCTTGCCTTGAACACCCCAGGATCCCATATGGGCGCCGGTTCTAATCCCGGCAGCTCCACTTCCCATCCAGTTCCCTGCTTGGGGCCTGGGAAAGCAGTTGAGGATGGCCCAAAGCCTTGGGACCCTGCACCCGTGTGGGATACCCGGAAGGAAGTTCCTGAATCCTGGCTTCGGATCAGCATAGCATTGGCCGTTGCGCTCACTTGGGGAATGAATCATCGGATGGAAGATCTTCCTCTCTGTCTCTCTTCTCTGTATAGCTGCCTTTCCAATAAAAATAAATAAATCTTGAAAGAAAGAAAGAAAGAAAGAAAGAAAGAAAGAAAGAAAGAAAAAGAGACAATTATAATGAAATAGAATCAGTGGCCAGAAACACCCAAGTTTAAAAGCAGCGTCAGGGTGCTTATCAGCCTCGTGGGGTAGGAACCCCAAGGATTTAAGGAGAAAGCTGAGGCAGCCTCAGTAAGCTGAGCTCAGCGAGGTTTTTCTCATGTGTAATTCAGCCATCACCTGAACAGGCTGCTCTCTGTTGAGACTGGAACAGGACACAGAGAGGGCTTAAACACAATTAGCTTCCAGACCCACCCTTGGCGGCAGGACGCACTGTGAAGCCAGAGCCGGTGTCTGACAGTACTCAGAAAATTGGGAGCCTGCCTGGGCAGGATGACCACAGCGGCCCAGGCGAGTGTTTGTTTATTTATAACTG